TTATTATATATGTGTTATCTATACACACAACATCTAAGTCTATCTGTCCTGGGAGAGGGATCCCCCTCCGTTGCTCTCCCCGAGGTTTAAAACATTGATGTGTGTCAAAACGTTTGCCTTACAGAAGTGTACTGTCCCAGTCACTCATCATAGCTTTCTTTTCACTTTTTAACTTAAACAAGAGTTGTATAAAAAATAGGTATTTGAATAGGTCACATACAAATGGCCCCAAAAAACAGCTGTTTCTAGCTTGTTATGAATTGTTATTGTTTGTTATTATTATTGTCTCTTTTAATAAATCAGCCACTAGTTTGACTGTAGACATGTTGTCATTTCTTGTCACTCAGCTGTTCAGAGTAATGAGACCAGTGATGTGATTGGCTGAGAGGCTAATCACCACCATCCAATCTATTTTCAATTGTAGTCTAATTGCCCCTAAATGAACCAACATAACAGTCCTAATTCTGGTCTGACTGGTCATAGTTCCCATGAATCATGATGGTATTAGAAACTCAGAAACACACTCCACTTTAACTTAGTTTGAGTTTATACTAGTTTCAAAACTTTGAGATGTACTTTTGAAAACCCTATAGCTGTATAGTCTGATGCTCAAACCATCCTCCTGGCTCACATGATCACGTGATCCTTCTCTGTAACCTGTTCACATCATGGTTCACATGCAAAGCTGGTGTAGAAATTACTATCACACATCAGATGGGAGGAGAGAGCTCAGTGCTGCAGGTCACCGAGTCATGATTCTGCGGGTCACCGAGTCATGATTCTGCGGGTCACCGAGTCATGATTCTGCGGGTCACCGAGTCATGATTCTGCGGGTCACCGAGTCATGATTCTGCAGGTCACCGAGTCATGATTCTGCGGGTCACCGAGTCATGATTCTGCGGGTCACCGAGTCATGATTCTGCGGGTCACCGAGTCATGATTCTGCGGGTCACCGAGTCATGATTCTGCGGGTCACCGAGTCATGATTCTGCGGGTCACCGAGTCATGATTCTGCGGGTCACCGAGTCATGATTCTGCAGGTCACCGAGTCATGATTCTGCGGGTCACCGAGTCATGATTCTGCGGGTCACCGAGTCATGATTCTGCGGGTCACCGAGTCATGATTCTGCGGGTCACCGAGTCATGATTCTGCGGGTCACCGAGTCATGATTCTGCTAGTGAAAGCTACCTAAGTTCTCCTGTTCATCATCAAGTCTGTTTCCCAGTGTGAAGGAGCTGCAGGCTGCTGAGCCGTGGAGGATCAGGTTTAACACGATTCAACAGTGCATTCCTGAGCACCCAGAGGTGTTGCTCTGATGAGAGGGTTACATTTCAGGGCTTTACTGTTATATTGTGCCCAGTATGTAAAAATGTCAAAGGAACAAAGCCATTTGAACCTGTTTCTGACAAACCACTAAAGAAGCAGCAGGCTCTCTCCGTTACATGTGGAACACTGCAGACTCCTGCCAACGAACCACTCTGTTCCTCTGATACATGATACTGATGATTGTGTTGTGCGATGAAACGCTGTAAATACTAGTTAACATTGAGGTCAACATAGTTTGTATCAAAAATAATAAACATCTTGTTGTTTTACGGAGAAGCACTTAGAGCTCAATATACAAAATGTTTGATACGTGATCAGATACAGTCCATGATAACGTTCCGTCAGGTTCTTCAGGGACCCCTGCTGGACGATGGAAGCTGCTTGGCTGAAAAGAAATGAATAGCATAAAGAATAAAGGCGTTCCAAGAGAGGGCAGTAGTTATGTGGTGTCAAATCTCTCCTGCTGTAGGTTTAAGTTGTAAAGCCCCCCCCCACCCTGTTATCATGTATACAGGATATGAAATACCAGATTTCTCTAGACCCCCTCTAATATCATGTCAGCCATTTAAATAAAGTCAATGCTGTTACTCTCTGCTGCTCACTGGGGAAATATGAACAAATCATCTCCAACATTAAAGGACTTGTGTTGATCAGTGCCAGATAATGACATCATGAGCCAGAGATCATTGTCATTGATCCTACAAGTCAATAAGATTTGTATTGATTCTTAGAAATGAACTGAGATCAGCCTCGTGGCTGAATGTGTGAAAGTGCTCTAACAGACGGAGCAGAGGGGGCTGTAATCTGTATGCTGTGAAATACTTCATGGGGACGGGGGAGAATTATACATTCATGCACAATATGCACGAACAATATCTTTTAACAATCTGAATCCTGCACGTTGCACATCTCTGCTCCACGCCTCTCTGCACGCCTCTCCACTTTGAATATAATATTTGTCATCTTTCTTTGTCTTCCTCCTATGTGTAAAATGACATGGTAATACAAAACGATTCTGATTAGGAAGAAGAACACACTAGAAACGTTCACACTTGAGACATATTTCACTCAAAGCTACACCTGGAAGAGTGTCGAGGAGAATCTCTAAAGTATGAACCCTGACAGCTGGAGGCTTTCTGCGTGAGCTGCTTCAAATCTGATCCAGAGTAAGCTCTTCAATTTCATTTCCTGGGCTACAGCCATGACCATATATCCCCTATTATCAATGAAAGAGTGGATGAAGGGAGAGAAAATGTATCGATCTGTCAGGATATAACAACACCCTGAGCTTTAGCCTGTTAGACACAAATAGCTCCTCTCTCCCACAGGTCCCTGAACGTGTCACAGCTTCAGCACGGCCACAAACACAAGCAGGGGATACTTTGTCCCCAAAACACCATCAGCCCTGTCAGTATTTTGGAGGACAAATTATTGTAAGATGAAATATTGAAAAGACCAACTATTACGGTTATCTGCAGAATCTAACGGCTGAACTGCTGAGCCTTTTGTCGGCTTAACATAGGTTTAGTCTTGACTTGAGACCAAAAAACGGAAATATGTTCAGCACATGATGTAGCTTTGTTTAGTTTTTAAGGGTTGCACTGCTTTTGCTGCTGTTTGGTCCCTCTGCTGTATGTGTACGTAGCCATCAGGCTGCACCACCAAGGGGGCAGAGGTTGCTGCAGTAATGTCTGAAGGGGGCTGCACCTCATAGATGTACCGTCCCACTCTCCTACACTTTCCTCCTGCTCTGCATCAGATATATAAAGAGATCTCTGGGCTCCTTTTACCATGTGGGATTTTTTTTCCTTCACTTTTATTGTCATTACACAGTAGGCTACAGGTACTATGTAACAAAATGGTTCCTCTGCATTTGACCCATCCTAGTGTTAGGAGCAGTGGGCTGCCATTATGAACGGCGCCCGGGGAGCAGTGTAGGGAACAGTGCCTTGCTCAGGGACACCTCGGTAGCACTTAGTCTTGCCGGGACTTGAACTGGTGACCTTCCAGTTGCCAAGTCAAGTCCCTATGGACTTCGCCACCAGCGCCCTCTTATGTGCTTCAGATTAAGGGTGAAAAAAGAAGAGACAAAATAAAAACGTCCTAGTTTAAGGGAGTCTGCACCATCAAGGATTTGTAAAACTCATGTTTTTTTTATGAAACAGGTGGGTTGTCTCCGCTCTGCATGCCAGTCAGGAATGTTAAAGTATTTGGGCAAATATTGTTTTCCTATCACATTTTAAAACATTCCACAGGACTCTTCTGAGCTTTTTCTTGTCATGATGCGTTGCCTACTCATGACTTATTTTTGTCACATATGAATTACAGGTATTCTTTGACATATATAACAGTATTTTGATTTGACACCAGGGGAGTCAACTTCATATTAAGAGCCCGTAACAAACACGACACCATTCAGAAGTGTGAGATGCTGTAGAAAGCTCCAGGGAAAGGGAATATGTTGGCACTAAGTTTACAGCTGCCTGATTCCTCTGCTGCAGAAGTCATGTATTACTCCTCTGTAGCTGAAATGCATGAAGGTATATATTCCCTTGATATATTCCAACTTGATTCAAGTGCAATCCGGGATAAATAACAAGTATTCACAGAGTAGAAATATAGTTTCAGTAATGGAACTCTTCTATGGCCATTAAAGCTTTTGTCTACAGAATGTAATTGCAAACATTTGAGCAAAGATACAAGCTGTGTACATTTGATTTGGGATCCTTTATTTTCTTTATCTAAAAAAGGCAATAAAAAGTATAATTGTATCCACTTGCACTATAAAGCCCTACTCACATATGATCTCAATCAATTCTCATTCTAGGACCAATGGGGGCCTGAACCAGGACCCCTGTGGTGCAGAAGAGCTGCAGCTCCCTGAGCGGCCAGTGGAGAGAACACATGTTTGAGTCTGGTACTAAAACAGCTTTGGACAATTTCTCCTTTGGACGACTATACAGCGGTTACATTGTCCATTACTCACCCCTATGACGGTCTCTGTGCGCAGGACGAAGGGCCGCAGAAAGAGAACGGAGCTGAAGCCTGCTGAGTCACCAGAGACTCAAACATTCTGCAGCTTTGTTTTAGAGCCTTTTCAATACAGCTACATCTTAGAAGTGCATTTCTCAACACTTTCTAGATATGAACTTGTTAGTCTTCCACCCTTAACATGAAGCACAGAATCCTCTCGGTAAAGGAAGCCCAGATTTCATTACCAGCAAATATTCACTTTTTGTGCAATTATGTGAAATACATACTTTGTTTTGGTATAAATGTCCCAACACTGTAATATGTAACTGTCACTTAGTTTTATTATTTATTTGTTTTTAATTGCTGCTATGAATTTTTAGCCATATTTGTGTACTTATTTGTCTTTATTATTGCTTGCCCTTTTGACCTGCTTTGCTGTCACACTGTGATTGTCCCTGCTGTGGGACCAATAAAGGAATTCTGATTCTGATCGATCCCACAACATTCATAACAAATTTGAATGCAAATGGATGTCGTGTATTTTCTTTCAACCTTGTACGATCCACTTTTTAAGTCATTAAACTGGCCACATATAGCTCAGATGTTCCATGTCTCTCAGGACTTCCTGTCTCTCTGTCGTCGAGACGACAGATCTGATGTTTGTTGACACGCAGAAAGAATCATTCGCACAATCAATCCGTACTTTCAAGCTCCATTTAATGTCCTAGCAAAAGGAGAATGTGACTGTTCTAAGGAGTGAGTAAAATAGAAAGTGCATTTTTTTTCACTGAAGTTTGACATAATAAAAAAAGATCAAAGCAGTTTGTCAGACGGAGCAGAATCGTTAATTTTGTAGAAATAGCAAAGAAATCAGTAAAGGTACTCTGTTGGAGTATTTGGTGGTATGGTGTAGATCAAAGGCACATCACAGCTTTGTATCTCACTGGGGATTGTTGCACACGCACAGAAAACACACATACACATGCACAAGCCTTCAGAAGACATTTCCCATGATGCTCTGACAGTCTTACGATCTACAGTCATGTTGATGCAAAACGCTCATGGAGATTTCTGAGAGGCAACAAAACGTTTATCCAGAGAATGGTGCTTTTTAATTTGGAGCCTGTAAAAGGGATAACATAGCATTAAAATGTGTCCATCAGCCGATATTAAAGCGGTATGATCCTGGAGAAATCAGAAGAAGCAATGATGACCGGCGGGGCGTTTTATCACATTCTTTTCTCTCATGTTTAAATAGTTTGCTTAAAGAATGACCCAAACCCTTAGTTACAACTGATCTTGCTCTAACAGTCAAAAAGAAAAAAGGAAATTAACATTCAGTAAACATTCTTCTCTAAAAGGTCATTCCCTTATATAATCTGTCATGTCTTCTCTGCCATTATGTATACATAAACAAGTTTAATAACATACCAATCAGTGGTTATTTCACAATTGGAAAAAGCACAAAATGTTTACACTCTTTTACAGGTAAATAAAAGTTTTTCGACTGTTTTCATAAGGGCGTAGCATACTTCATAGTTCGTCTCACGGTTCCCACATCCCCCCCGCTATCTGCTATTAGATCTTTACATACAAATATTGACAAAGTGGTGGCTTGTGCTCTGAAGCCATCAAGTCTTTTGGAGAGTAATAATCATCATGAGGAGGGAGGAGGGGGGGACGTGATGCTGGGAATGGATGGGGGGGGGTGTGGACTCATAGCAGGCCCTCGCTGTCCTGGCTGCCCCCCGGCTTCTCTGCGTCGGGGGGGCCTGGCAGCTCTTTGAGGCCCGTGCTGCGTTCAGGGAAGTTGTCTCCCTCGGGCTCCAGGCCGTCGGGGCAGGGCAGCTTCAGGAGCTCCTCTCTGAGCTGAGCCGTGTGCCTCTGTGGGGGGGGGGGGGGGGGGGGGGGGGGGGGGGCACGGGGGTTAATGTTACAGCAAACATTAAGCACAGCTCTCTCATGATACATGCTGTGACAGAATAACAAAGCATGAGGTAAATACAGGAAAGGGGGGAGGCAACAATATTTGAAGATGAGGAGGCTGTTCAGCCTCCCCCTCCCCCCAATGCAGCTTGCAGTTAGAAAATATGCATACAATTATGACATGGTCAAAATACGTACTTACCTAATAATTAAGTTAGACAGAGTATAGTATATATATATTTAACCTACATATTTGTATACATGTACATTCACTTGTTCAATGTTTAACTCATGTCATTCTTTCTATTCATTGTGTTAATACATATGTATTCTTATTATTTCTATCCTTATTATTCCATGTGTTTCTGCCTTATTCTGTTGATGCCATGACACCGTAATGTCCCTACGGGGATCAATAAAGGTCCATCAGATCTTATACTTGACTTTGAAATATGGTAACTCAATTAGAGGAGTATAAAGTGTTGTGTTCAGTGTCCTGCAGCTGTGGGACATCTGGATTGTCCAGTGAGGATAAACGTGCTTATGTAGCACCAGGCAGACACACAGTTTGTGTGTATCTGTGTGTTATGAGCTACTGAGTGACCCAGGGTGGTCTGCAGAGAGCCCATGCCCCCTGCAGCTGTTCACTAGCAGGACACAAACTGGGCTCTTTCAGAGTAGACTTTATGTGGAAGATATTCACACAGGAAGTGGAAAAGCCCCTTAAGACCCCGTAATACCGACTGTGCATTTTCAACACATTGAGCAGATTTCATTGGTTCCCTGGGCAAGACACTTCGCCCAACATTGCTCCTGTGGGGCCCACAGTACTGAATGTATGTACGTCACTTTGGATAAAAGCGTCTAACAGGGGACATGTAATGTCATTTCAGTGCGTTACCAGTGTTTTGTGTACGGCAACCTTGAGAGCCTTGAACTGCGCCTTTATAAATCAAATGTATTATTACCTTGAGTGCAGCAGCATGGTGGGACATGGTGCGGCCCACCCTCTTGTCGCTGCTGTACTGCTGGATGTCAGCGATCCACTCCTCACACTGAGACATGATCTCCACCCGCTTCAGGTAGAAGTGTTTGTGGATCACCTGCAGAGACACGACGGGGAACTGATCAACTACAGCCAGCACAAAGAAGGCTTTCCAATAACAAGTGTCTGTGTATATATCAAATAATAATAAAAGCTGTAAAAATAACACATTTATTTTGAAAAACGATGAAATAATTGAATGCCTGCTAGCAAATGGATGTTCCAATGTATGTTTATTAACTACATGCCCCCCCGTCAGGAGTCCAGACTGGCACACTGAGTGTCTGCTCTCTAAACGATCAGAGCCCTGACAGCACCAGGCGTCAGGACACCTGTCAATCATCCGGCTACATCAGAGAAACATTTCCCAGCTCCAACACGTGTCAGCTCTTCAGAGAGAACACGTTTCAGGATCAGTGTTTCAGCCATGATGAAACACCACTGACAGTTCTTTAGTATTACTTGCAGTGTTAAAAGCAGCCTGAACAAACATTCGTCACACAAGTCATGTATCTCAAGCTGTCCTACACGCTTGACACTGATCTCTCTCTTACTGAGGAGTCGTTTATTATGGAGGGTCTCTCTGACATCATGTGTAGGACCCTCTTCTGGAACACTGATGTCAACATCTAGCCCCCCCGCCCCCCTGCCCCCCATCTGGCCTCCCTAACAACCGTCTCCAGGGCCATCAGTATGCAGTGAGTGCTGGATGTGTCTGCTGCTCTGGGTGAGGGAGGGATGGATCAGTTATTATGGCGACTGCTGATTTACTGGTTACCAGGGGGGAGGCAGAGAGGGTCTGTGGAGCTTTAATCCCCCTCCTCTCTCTATATCTCCTCTCTCTACATCTCCCTCCTCTCTCTTCATCTTCATCCCACTCTGGGGCGGCTTCCCATCTCCTCCTCTGTCAATGTTCCTCCCACCCAACCCCCCCCCTCCCTGTACTCCTTAAGTTACAATCAGTGATGTGGGCGGGGGGCCCCAGTGAGAGGGATGCTTCAAGGTCACAGTTGTGTGGTGAACAGTTGAACAGACATGGAGTGTGCATACAAGCCATGCTAAGAAACATAAAGACGGCAGCACATCCTGACCTTATGCACAGACATGTTCAGCCATGTGCTTTTGGGGGGGGGGGGATAAACCTGTCGGTGACTCCTAAAGATGTGAATATGACACATATACACAGATCTAGCTATCACCACACACCGAGTTCCACAGCTACCTCCAACATGCACATTAACAAGTGTATACTTGCTCTCACACAAACACAAGCACACCAGGATCCATCTTTTAACACTCATTGTCCTTAATTCCACATGACATTCTGCTGCTGCATAATTCAAGCCTGTACTCCTCTGGAGCTCTCTCTAAAACACCGTGTGGCAACACTGGATTCTCACATACACAAAAATACAAATCTTGGTGATTCCACTCATCCAATGCTCATAAGAGAGAGAAACAGTAGCAGTGTCTTCAGCATGCTCCCATGGAACCTGATGTGGGTTCATGTGAGCCTTGATGATAAAAAGGACTTTCTACACATTGAGCTTATTCTGCTGTTACGAGATGAACACAGGCTATTGAGGGCACAAGGTTGAAGGAAACCAGTGAGACTATTTTCACAGGGAGCAGAACCATAGCTAAAAAAGGATGCCCCAATGGAAGCACTGACTGACTCACCTTTTGGCCCCGTGTTAGTAGGGCTGAAATGGAAATGATAAAGTGTGGTCTAAACCAGCAGAGACCATGAGCAGTTCATAACTAAACTGTTATAGAAACAAGGATAAAGATTTGAACTCACGAATGGAAGAAAATCTAAAATGTGGGACTCAGTGGGAACACAGGCCGTCAGTTAGATGAAAATTAACAACAAGAAACATGACTTACTCAAGAGAGGTCTCTCCATTACACTCAATACAAATCACATAACAGCAAGGGCACCCATCGGCCCCCTCTCTCACGGACTGAATACTAGGAAGTAAAACAGAAGTCCCCTTTAAAGTCTTCTGCTCCTTTACGTTCACTGACTGTACTTGTTTGGAGTGGATTGCCTGCTCTGTTTCTCTGCACCCACCTGACATTGAAAAGAGTTTGTTCCATTTTCCAAATGGTCAAAAGATTGTATATTAGACATCCTGACAAAGTGTTAGATTATAGAATCCTAGTAGCGTGTTTTGGCTATGGCTTCAACATTAGCCTTCACTACAACTGAATCCTATGTTGAGCTCATAAGGTCATCAGAGCTTTATGAGATACTGTAGGTTCTGTCATAGGGAACAATCACTGTTCAAAATGAGGTCAACATGATGAGTAAATGCATGGACTGACAGATAATAGTGTCTGCTGTCATTCACCAGAAGTGAGAGACCAGCTGAAACGGCAAAAGTAGAAACGGAGGCTTCTGAAAATGCACAGCAAACCTAGACATCCTACAAGAAGCCACCTGGTTCATATGGGGGGCTTGTTTTAGGACAGGCTGAGTACTGATTTTCAGTCAGCCTCCAAAAGCCTAGCGCAGTGTTTCTCAAACTTTTTCATACCAAGGACCACTTAACCAATAAAAAAACACTCGCAAAAATGATGAAGCTTTGATTGCTGTGAAAAAATATAATCTGGTCTTCATGATCTTATTTTTTAATGATAGTTATGGCAAAACAAATAAAAAAGATCATTACCTCCCAAAAAGATATCAGCTAACATGAACACATTCTTTCAGTGTGAATGAGACAAGTCAAATGACATTTCAATGAAGCACTTAGCATTCCAAATACAGCAACACAGATGTTAAAATGGGGGGCAACTTTCCAGGAACCTAACCAGTCATTTCATATTATAACTATTCTATTATTATAAAGGAGACCAAGCTGTGGCCCTTGCAGATATGCACCTCACTCTGTAGATATGAGCCACATGCTTGACCTGTATTCAATATAAGAGTTCCTAATGTCTATATGTTTATGTGGAAGAAGGCAACACTAAAGCCACTGCTCCTGGCTGGTAGTCTACCTCTCTCAGTGGATGTGTCTCAGCTGGAGACTTTAAGGTGCTAAAAGGCCAGAGAAAAGCACATGGGAGATTCTTAGCAAGCCTAATTGAATTTCTGAGAGTGTGTGTGTGTGAGATGTCTCAGCCGGCTGGCCCCGTCCTCCCCAGTCCCCTCAAGATCTCTCGCTACAACGCTCCGTTTCACACACTGGCTGGGTGATGTCATACACTCTTTGCTTCCCCATTTGATCCCATCCAACTGTGCAAAGGCCAGATAGATGAATACTAGAACACCTTCAGATCACACTGAAATACTAGCAGCACTGTCTGTGGATACAATCAGAGAATGGTTTACCTCAGAACACTTTACTCCCGCTCTGAACTCAATCCTAAAAGACTGAGGTTCTGCTTCATTCCAAACATGTGGTGAATCCAAGTCTCAGTGACTTCATTGCTGCGTGATGGATTTCAGAGCATACTTCCAACAAATCCCAGTGAAGGGGGATATAAGAGCATTACTAAAAAGGTGGAGAAAGACATTCAAAAATCTAGAACACTATCTTCCTTTAAAATACAAAGCATTAACAGTCCTCTGGGATTTAGAGTCAATGAACCCGTTTTGTAGTTAACACAAACATATGTAATGGAGCCCATATCATGGCTAAATTATTTATTTATTATAAAAAGCGTTTACTTTTGCCCAGCAGCAATTATTACTTAACTGTCCAAACTACAAAATAAAACTGACGGTAATATAGCATTAGTATCTTTCCTGGTGTGAAAGGCTGAATTACAGTAAAGTGAAATTATATTCTGAATTTATTCTAAATGTTGCCTTACACCACTTAGTATTTATATCCACGTTGCAAAAACGTTATTGTATTTCTTTGTTTTCATGTCATTGAACCGGTCACGTTGAATATATTTATACATGTAATTGTTAATGTCATTACTAATCGGTACAGTAATACCATAATAGGGGTGGGGCTCTGTTGGAGCGGGTGGGGTGTTGTGTCATTTGGAATGTAATACTGTACTGATCATTGTATCTTATGTGTTCTTAAAACCAATAAAAAGACCTTGATCAAAAACGTTATTGTGTAAATATTTAGTGAAAGCATGAACAGTCAGCCTTACAATATAGTTGCCATGTGGATATGGAGGCATGGCCCAGCTCCAACAGAAACATGATTGTGATTAAGCTTTGTATAGATGTATACCATGTAGACCACCAACATAGGTGTGGAGATGAATTCATCTGGAGACATTTGAATATTGGTCAGAAGAATAACCAATAAATGTGTTCCTCAAAGTCCTTCAGCTCAATTCTTATTGAATGAAGTCAAAAGAGTCAAATCCAATATATCAAATGACCCTTTTGAAACCTATTCATGAAATCACTCTGTATGTGTTTCTATTAGAAATGTTTTGATCATGTAATCCTTTCAAAGTGATGGGATTACATCTGGTTCTTTCCCCCCAGTCAGCCCTCTCGTTTCTCTCAGCAGAGCGCTCCTCTTCCTCACTTCCTCTTGTTTCCTGACATTTCCGAATGAAGCTGCTCTGGATGAGCAGGTTGAAAGATTGTTATCTTCCCCTGCACATCAGTCTGAACACGGACCATTTAAAGGATTACAATGTATCAAGAAACTGTGAGGAAGAGAGGGGGGAGGAGGAATTGGCCAACTTCCAGACAATGTCATCTACCAAGGGATTTATACGAGGGGGGGAAGCTGCTTTTCATTCCTCTTCAGTTGATGGAAAATGTCAAGAAGGGCAAAAGGTGTGAAGCTAATGCATTATGTAAACATTTCTGTATCCTATTAGGAATGTGTATTGAGAGTGGAAGTGAAAAGAAAAGACAAATAAATGACTGCCTCTGCAAAGAATCAAATCAGTACATTTGACAGAAGTCTGAAAGTCTCAGCCCAAGTCCCGGCCACTTCAGGTTCAGATCAGGCCTTAAATCTTTCTACCATTATTAAAACATTTCAGTTTTCTTTAAAACATTCCCTTTGATTATTAAAATGACAATGACACATGGAATGCATTCTGAAGAAGGTGTTATTTTCTTGCTTTATCTTGAACCCCTCTTCTTCAACAAATACCAAGTTTATATTGTAAAAATGACCATGATTCCTTTGTAGGTGCAGTTAAAAAGGGGAGAGCCCTGAGTTCAAGTTGTTCCAGGAATGACATGATCATACACCGAACGGCATGTTGAAGGAAACATCACAGAAACTGAGCAGGATAGAGACCCCTACCTCTTTGAAACATGGTGAGGGGTTGCGCATCTGCTCCAACATGGCCCATTTGACCGAGGCCTGCCGGATGTTGCCGTCATACTCCCGGGAGCTCTGGGTGCCACTGGGGGTCCCGCGGGAGCGCTCATACCCCGGCTCGTTGAAGTAGGGCTCAGCCACCAGGATGAGGGACTGCACCGACACCAGAACCTACACAATTTAAAAACAGGGAGGGGAAATAAATGATGTATTGGAAAGCTTCAGGGTTAAAAAGTTCAAACAGCAGAACAGGAAGTCATTCCGTTTAACTCCCCCCTCAATACACTGACACCAGGACTAACTTCACCATCAGCCGCCAAACCCTTATACTGTGCATTATCCTATCTATCATTATCTACATCTTATTCAGAATACATCACTGTATTTATTGTAATGCACATGCAATATATAGTGCACATTTTTACCTCTAATGTTGATATATTATTGATGTATTTCATTTCAATCAGCTGACCTGAAGCATGTTTATAAAAATCTCTATTTTATAATTATAATTTCTTATGTAGCAACTATTACAAAACCTACTTTTCCCCAAGAAAAACAAAGTATTCTGATTGAAGAAATGATGATTGCCTATTGCCTATAGAACCCTACACACTGCAATGATATGAAATGCAGCTTGGTCTGGTTTCCAGAGAGCTGGTGTGAAACCACATTGTAATTCATGAATGTGTCCCAATGGTTTGGTGTAACCCTGATCCTTTGGTAATTACACGGACACTCAGAGTGTCTTCCACATCTAAAGCCGCCTCTTCAATATTCTTGGCAGGGGTGGACTGACAAAAGCAAGACATTTTTTGGAAGCAGAAAGATATATCCCTGAACATATCTGTATTAACAGCACGATTAATGTCTGTCTCAAGGAGAATAAGGACGCCGCCCACTACATCACAAACAAAGAGGACCTGGCAGTGAAGGCCGACCAGCCTTCTGGAGCTGGTTGCTGTGCTCCTGATAATGCTCCATCAGGAAGATACCAGTGACCTTCAACTGTGGTGAGCCGTCTGTCTTAAACTGGGTTGCCAGATATCAGAGGCAATATCCACCCTTGTTGATGACTGCCTGCTCCAAGCCTACTCCCCTGTCTCCTATTCAAACCCCCTTATTTTCCATTATTGATCCCTAGCATACTACATGAAATGATAATCAATGAAGACATCTCTATGCACTTTCGAACCCTGCAAATGAGGGATTTATAAAAAAAAGGAGGGATCAATTTCCAAGGGCCCTGCTCGCTTTAATGCAAGTGTGTGCATAAACCAAACAACGCTGTGTGTGAATGTCATCGTGCTGCGTTCAAGAGTTTGTGTTCATCCATACCTCAGTGCACCACTAAAGATAACCAGTCGTTGCTCAATGCTTTACATTATCTAAGGCTTTAGACAGAGGTGGGACAAGTACTGAGATCTTGTCCTTGAGATCAAAGTAGAAGTACTCAGGTCTTGTTCTTGAGTAAAAGTAGAAGTAGGAATATTCTGTTACAAGTAAAAGTCCTGCAATAAAAATGTTACTTAAATAAAAATAGAAAAGTATTAGCATAAAAATAATATACTATACTATAGTACCAAAAGTAAAAGTAGTCATTGTGCAGATTGGTCCATTTCAGAATAATATATATGATATGTTTTATAATGATTGATCATTAAAGTGTTCTCAAAGCTGGTAAAGGTGCAGCTAGTTTGAATGACTTTGTATACTGCAGGGTAGCTTGTGAATTTACTCCAGGTGGAACTAAAGTCTGATTTAACACTTGATTAGATTTCACATCATTCATCCACATCTGTAAAGTAACTAAAGGTATACATGTAGTGGAGTAGAAGTACACCATTTACCTCTGAATTGTAGTGGAGTAGAAGTACAACGTAGCAGAAAATGTAAATACTCAAGTAAACTACTGTCAAAATTGTAATTAAGTACAATTACTTAGTTACTTGGTACCACTGGCTTTATATTTTGTAAACACAGATTAACTAGTCTTTTTACAAAATAAAAAACATTAGGAAAATGTAAAATTTGGCAGTTTAGCTACAATGGGTCTTGGTTATCTTCACAGCTATGTATCCTCCATACTGCTTAGCATGTTCAGGATGAAATGTGAAAACAGTCTGCAGAATCAAAGCTGAAAACGAGGAGTCTTGGCTGAACATGCAATTGAATCCTTCTGATCCCGAGTCCAAGATGAGTGATGTGTGTGTGAGCGGGCATGGCTCCCAGGTTCAAATGATAGTGGCTTGTGTTTGCTTTGATTAACACCCACACACTGTGGCCAAAGCAGAGTGATAACCCGGCTTTAAAAGGGATCCTTCATGTCAGCTGTTGATCCACCAGGCCCATTAATACAGAGCCTGCAGCACTGTAGTGACAGCCAGAGATGAAGTGCAGCCTGGGACACAAAGACTAACAGCCTGCTGACCCCCCTGACAGCAGGCCTGATGGATCTGAGGCTCACCTGTAAGAAGCTTGAGGTCTGAGGGTTCCACTTCTCCTCTGGTCTCCCATGCCATGTGTTGAGGATACTTAAACATACCTGGTTAAAAAAAAAGAAATTCATTTTAGTTATACGTTTTTTTTGTTCAACATGACATATCTAAGGGGAACAGCTCCATCAATTGTTTGATTACAATTTAAATGTACATATGATCAATGCCAATATGTGTCTGTGGTATATTTCTAAAGCGTAGTGAAATTGTATTTTGTAGAGTATTCAAATGTATTCAGTAGATTCTTTTTTTAAATATTGTGTACTAATTAGATAAGCTATTGATATACGTCTTTTCTTTTGTGAATTTGTATATACTTGCTGCTATTGTTAATTTGTATTATATTTGTAAACTATAAATATGTTTAACTCGTAATGACAACACTGCTGCTGTGACAAAATAACTTCCCAATTTGGGATGAATAAAGGATCTATCTATCCATCTTGATTGGACTCAATATTAAGCTTTGACGCCAATTATGGCGCATTTCCACTGCAGGGCCTCGCTCGGCTTAGTACGGTATAGTTAGGCCTTGGTAGGCCAGGCTCACTTTATGCTGCGTTTCCATTACAGTTTAGTAGCTGGGGCAGTAACTATAGTAACGCAGTGAAGACGTCATCTTTAATGCGTACCACAGAAAAACAACATCAGCCGTTAGCTGTTAGCACACAGAGCTCACAGCTCCTCATATCTGTTCAGAAACTAGACAAAAGTTAAACAAGTACAAACCACAGACTGTCTGTGTCATGGTGAATACAGTCGCTGCTTTATTTATGTCTGTATAGGCCGTTGTTGTGAGTGTGGACGGTCGGGGCATATACTGCGTTAGCTTAGCCGATCTTCATTCAGAAAACACGCATTTTAAAAGGTTTTTCGCCTGCCGTCTGTCTGCAGACTTGACAAAGCATTAATTCATGGTTTTTACTAACCGGTATCAGTATGTTGTTACTTCGGCATCATTTTGAAACGTGTATTACAATTAAGTCACGGTCAAATATGTTCATCTTGTTGTAGTTGTAGCCCCCTTGCCAGCGATTCTCTCACTAGTTTAGCATACTCAGCCCGGTTGTTGGCCCGGAAAGAGCCTCGATTTTGTCGAGCCAGAAAAACTGTGAAAAAGTACCCGCTAGCCGGAACTACCCCTAGTGGAAACGCAACCAAAAACGGGCCGGGCTTGGCACGGCACGCTTAAACTGCGCTGTAGTGGAAATGCGCCATTAGTGCTCCACTGTTGAACCTGTTGCATGGCTCACAGCTGGACAAGACGACAAGAGCTCCAGCTGAAATTCTGGTGCAGCTATTTTCTCTTTCCTCTTTTCATCCCTCATCAGCGTGGTGAATGATGGCTTGCTTCCTTTAGTTTTATCCCAGCCCAAGTTATTTTTTATAGCAGCTGTCTGGGCTCATTATTGAAATATGTGCGGAGTGTCAGCGGCTGCCTGATGAGCCACAGATGTGGGGGGGAACTTTGACCCCAACTACTCAATGGAAGAAAGCCAGGACCAGAGAGGGAGAGCTAAATATGTTCTAACGTCGCAAAAAAAGAACTCTGGAGGGATGTCGTCCAAATGTCAGCTGTAATTTAAAACTGGACACCTGACAGGGACGCTCTTCAGATGTGCTGGGTGAGTTTGACACTTCTACGCCTTGTTGGGTTCTTGATGGACAACTATCTTTTTTAGCCATCTCACTAAACACGGAAAACTCATTTATTTCAGAAATGTCATTTTCTTTGCAGTCACTACATGTCTTAGTATTGCAGGTTTTATTCTTTATTTGAGAAGAGATGACGCTACACGGAAATGACATCATGTAGGATTCTACTTCATGTAAAGGACTTTGTTCCTAGATGTTTTATACTACATTTTGAATTTGTTGTATATGTTTTTCCTGTATTTTCATCTCAGGTTAAATGTAAGTGAGTTTGAGTTTCAAATATGAAAATGAAGAAATCATTTTTGTCATTATCATAAATGTTACCTTAGATAATTCAAATCTAAATGGAAGACTACATTTCCGTTTGTGATTGATGATTCAAAAATGATGAAAGGGTTAATAAAAACAAATCCTCCATTTTGTTTAAGTGTTCTTGATGATGACACACACTAACAGACTCTGAGCTGGTTTCCACTCACTTTGCCATCATTGTAGAGGTTAGGGTTAAAGCGCACACTGTGTCCCCCGGTGGTCTCCAGGTTGACCAGAGGGGGGGAGTTGGGGTAGTCTTGGGGGAAATACACATCAAACTCAAAGCAGCCGTTGGCGTACGGTGTGTCGGCTGGGCCTGTGATGAGAACCTGAAACACAGAGGAGAGGTGATGAAGAGGAAGCACTGAGAAGGTTATTAATCACACTCATGGAGAGGGGCTTCATCAAAGAAAGGTGGACACACTGATAACAGGAAGAACAAATTAAATTAAGTGCAAATGGCAATATATCAAGGTGAATTAGTTGCGACTCTCTCAGGCGTATTCACGGCCACAACAATGTGATTAACAACAGGCTAAAGGGTGAAATCAGCAGACCGGCTCCATCTACACCTCTCCTCGCATGTGTAGCAACAACTATTTGTTTCATGAACAAATGAGATAAGCTCATTAATCAAACAAAACAAACACACTTAAAACGTGTCATAAGGACATAAATGCATATGTTAATATGATCAAATAAGCTCAAACCCCAGTATATTATTATATCTAATGATTGAACCTTAAGGAGAAATAGTAAACAAGCCTTTAAAAGAAACAAATCGAACTGTAAGGCTTTGTTATAGCTGCAGTATGAAGTGTTGCTCGGTCTGTGAAGCAGCTGGGGGTGCACCACAAAAGATGTTATTTCGATTAGTCAATTATTCTAACAACTTATTAAACAATTGTTTTTTTTTTATAACTCAATCAATACAACAATTTATTAACTATATTACATCTTTAAAACTGTATATATTATTATTTTAATAATTGATTCAATTATCTTTCGATATCTCTTCTTTATCAAACAAACGTTACAAGATAATATAACTCAGGGATGCAAACACACGTATGGTGAAAAAAGAGAGAACTATTCGAAGCAGAAAGAAAACAGCATAATATACCATGTGACAAAGGCCTGTGCTATAATGCTTCAATTAACTGACTATTCTTTATAATATACTCAGATCAATAGAGACAGAGATGTTAAGTTATAAATTAAGGGGTTTTATTATTTACAGCAGGGGTGGGGAACCTTTTTCCTCTCAAGGGACATTTACATTTTTACACCATCCTCCGAGGGCCGTACAAATTATTGAACTCAACTTCTGGTTAAAAATACTAAAATCACAGCCCATTCATTTGGCCTTTCTTTCATTCTGTGCAAAGAAAAGCAACCTCTTAATCCAGATATCTTACCATGACTCGTGCATGCATTCACGTGCACGGTGTGGCATGACCACCAACACAGAAAGATATGGACACAAGATGTGTGCAAATGTATTTAGTTTCCTATCCATGTGGACATCATTTAAGTGTGGGGTGGACCTAACCTCCTCTAGGGGGGTCCGGGGGCATGCTCCCCCGGGAAGATTATTTTTTAAATGTTGAAGTTAAAAGCATCAATCTGGTGCACTTTGAGAGCAACATTAGGAGATCTATGGATACATCTTTCAACACCCATATGAAACAGAACATGAGACCCTACTTGTCATATGCCTGAACAGAAAAGTACTGGACCACAGTTTAAATGCAATATATTATACCTTTGTATTATACAAACAACTTTTTCCAAGACAACCTTAACTTTAGTACTACAGGCAGTGGCTTGAGACTAATGGCGTCTTATTGACACATAAAATCATTCAATTTCAATTCATCTTGTTAGTTCCTAAAGCGAGAGAGTCTGTCTGCGCGCCCTGGAGTTTTCTTCTCTCCTCTACCTAACAGCTGTTTGCTGGCACATCCACATCTGTCTTTCTTGTTACCCAAACACCCACCGCCCACACATCAGTTGACCTTTTGTCAAAATGTATTCATTAAACTCCCTACGATGCGTGCAGGGGAAACACCCTATTTTCTCCTTGTTAATGTTAGCTGCCAGCATCCGAGGTGTATTCAGGCTCTATTTAGTAAAAATGTGTATTGTGAATGTAGAGTTAAACATTATTATGATGTGTTAAAATGTAATCTTTTAAAATGAGTTTTTTTTACTGAGAAACATGTTTTTTTACAGTTGTCTGAAGAATATATTTTCATGGCAATATAAAATAGATGTTAGAAAGGTGAATTATTACTTGTTAAACTTCCTAAAGAAACAGTATTCAAACAGAGTAAGTGAGGTTATGTAGAATTAATTGGGATTCGATTTGTTTTCAGTAGTATTAAATGGGTATTGAGAGAATTCCTTTTAAATTCCTTTTAAAGCAGCTGCTACAAAGCTGTTTTGTCCTGGCGTAAGGATGCAGGGGGGGGGGGGGATGCGCTGACCCTCACAAATCAGGAGATTTCCACCTCATCAGCTACTGTTCCTTTGTGCTGATGCTGCTCCTCAGGCCATGCTACACTCATGGAGAAAGTGAGTTTTAGTTGGTGTGTATGAACGTATTTGCAGAAGGAAACAGTGCACCGCTGTGACAGGACTCTTGGCTATGGACTAAGATCCTTCCTTTTATACCAGCTTGGTGCTCACAGCAAGTATAACATATATATACACTGCCTGTGAGCCAATCTGGAAGAGCCTTCCATTGGATAATTACTGCAGAGATTCATATGTTTCAGCTGGCAACAAGTTATTTAGCTGATGTGGTGTTTAGCTTCTCATTTCTTAAACATCCATGTCGGAAGACAAGGACATTAATCGGTTACAAAAAGATCAAATGATTGGCCTGCATCAAGCAAAGAAAACAACTAAGGAGATTGGTGAAACTACTAAAATCAGGGAAACAACTGTCCAACGCATTATTTAAAACCAAATCAATGGATCCAGATTCATCCTGTTCCAGAGTGATGAGTGCATCAGGGTAAGAAGAGAGGCGGATGAAGTGATGTGCCCATCATGCCTAGTGCCTACCGTACTGTGGGGGCAGGCTATGATCTGGGGGTGCTGCAGTTGGTCAGGTCTAGGTTTAGCAACGTTATGTTCCCAAAGAATGAGGTCAGCTGACTTCCTCAATATACTGAATGACCAGGTCTAGCATCAATGGAGTTCTTCCTCCCTGATGGCACGGGCATATTCCAAGAGGACAATGCCAGGGGGGCTCACATAGTGAATGAGGGGTTCAGGGAGCAGGAGCCCTCCCTTCCTCACATGGACTGGCCCCCACAGAGTCCACACCTCAGCCCTGTGGAGAATCTTTGGGATGTGCTGGAGAAGACTTTGCGCAGCGGTGCGACTCTCCCATCATCAATAAAAGATCTTGGCAGAAAATGAATGCAACTCTGGACAGAAATACATTTTGTGACATTGCAGAAGCTTATCGAAATGATGCCACGGCGACGGCCTGCCGCACTCAAAGCTGAAGGCGGTCCAACGAAATATTAGTGGGCAACTTCTCTTTTGGACGGGCAGTGTGGAATGCCTCATTCTGCTTTGAGGACTTTGAGGACTTTCATGTATATTTGTTCCTACAAATACAGTTACTTTTATTCTTTGTGCAATAATAATAATAATAGATTGTATTTATATAGCGCTTTTCTCGAACCCAAAGACGCTTTACATTTGGGGAAGGGTAGACAAACAAGGACAGGCAATAAAACAACAGCAAAACAAAAACAAAACAGAAAAACAAAAAAACAAAACAGAAAAGCAGTTGGTTGAGAGGGGGGGGGCTTATGGATATACAGAGTTGAAGAGATGGGTTTTGAGGCGGGACTGGAACAGGGTGAGGGACTCAGACTCACGGAGGTCTTGGGGGAGGGAGTTCCAGAGCTTCGGGGCTGCCACAGAGAAGGCTCTGTCCCCAAAGCTCCGGAGTTTGGCCTTGGGGATGGAAAGCAAACCGGCTGAGGTGGATCTGACCGGGGTGGTTGGTAGAGGATGAGGAGGTCAGTGAGGTAGGGGGGGACCAGGTGGTGGAGGGCTTTGTAGGTGAGGACCAGGAGTTTGTATTGGATGCGGTGTGAAACGGGGAGCCAGTGGAGTTCTTTGAGGACCGGGGTGATATGATGCCATGATTTGGTGTGGGTGAGGAGTCTGGCGGCTGCGTTCTGGACACGCTGAAGTCTATTGAGGGATGTAGTGCTGATGCCGTAGAGGGGTGAGTTGCAATAGTCCAGGCGGGAGGAGATGAAGGCGTGAATGAGTCGTTCGGCTGCGGGGCGGGTGAGAGAGGGACGGAGTTTGGCAATATTGCGGAGGTGGAAAAATGAGGTTTTTACAACTTGGCGGATGTGGGGCTCGAGGGAGAGGGTGGGGTCAAATATAACGCCAAGGTTGCGTGCCTGGGTGGATGGGGAAACAGGGGTGCCATCGATGGTGAGTGTCAGGTTGGGGGTTTTGCTGAGGGTGGATTTGGAGCCGATGAGGAGGAGTTCAGTTTTATTGCTGTTGAGTTCGAGGAAGTTGTGTGCCATCCAGGATTTTATTGCAGTCAGACAGGATTCGATGTGGTTGAGGGGGGGGTTGTGGGGGGATTTGGTGCTGAGGTAAATCTGTGTGTCGTCAGCGTAACAGTGAAATTCCAGGTTGTAGTGGCGGAGAATCTGACCAAGGGGGAGGATGTAGATGATGAATAGGAGGGGGCCGAGTACTGAACCTTGGGGAACACCTTGGGTGACTGAAGCTGTGGCAGAGGAGTGGTTGTTGAGGGAGATGAAGTGGGATCTGTCGGAGAGGTAGGACTGGAGCCACCTGAGTGCAGTACCTTAGGTGGCTCCAGTCCTACCTCTCCGACAGATCCCAACACTCTTACAAAAATAGTACAGTTTTTTTTTAAATGATGTTCTTTTAATGCCATGATAATGCTTTTCTTTTACGTTTCTTCCTTTGTTGTTGGTATGCTGCTGCCTTTCCTTAAAGTGTTCTTTTGGCGAAACGGAGCTAAGAGATGAGGATTTTGACATTAAGCAGGAGAGACTTTGCCATTAATCAACTTGTGGGTTGAGAGCCATTAATGAAATGTCAGTGGGGGAATGAGTATGTCATGGCCAGTTGTAAGTGGAAACACCCGACGCAGTAACACAGTCCACTAGAGCAATGCAAACCCTCTAGTTCTTAAACTAGTGATCTCAATGAATCTCAGTACAAAACCCTGTACACACCAGCAAAACGATGACATATCCATGACTTTATGACAATTTGAAGTGGTATTTTACCTTCATGATGTCCAGCCTTTCTTCATCACAGCGGACAAAGACGCTGGAGGAGGAGGAGAGGGGCAGGGAGGTGGACAGGGTGACGGCCTCCTGGGCCAGGCGGCGGGATCGGGCGGCGCTGTTGGTGTCGCTAGCGTTCTTCACCTGAGACATGTAGTGGTAGTTCACCTTGAACATCACCTTCCCATCGTCGTCCTCCGAGACCATCTCAAAGGTGTCTGAAGAGAGAGAGAGGCCAGAGTGAGGAAGCTCTCACTGCTGCAGGAATGTACTATTCTCCTCTCAACTAAACCTAAAAACATCAGTACTGCCTGTAAACACTTCAAATAACAACTTCAAAATATACATTTATATTTTTAGCCATGTTTAAATGGATACCAAATGTCAATGCAATTCAATTAGGGTAGTATAGCAAAACAGAAAGGGCGAATGAAACTATTAAGTCCTGATTTTAGAGTTTGATCAATTTTTCAATTTAAGGTGACTTAAAAACTGAGAAACATAAGCTTCAAAAAGTCTTTCCTCACCATTAAAAGTGTTTAAATGAATTGTTAGGACCACTTATTAGAAGTTCTTCTTTCTTTCAGTAGTAATGGAGGGACGAAAGGACACGTAGCATGCTGGGGTTAGCTAGTTATCTTGCTAAAATAATGTAATATTGCTGAATACCTTTTAAAGCTGAACAACATTTTGCTTGCATTTGCTACAAAAAAGGGAAAAGGCTGTTTTACTGGCATCACTAGATGGACAGCATGCTAGCTAGTCGGTTCTGTTAGCTCTTGCTCTAACATTGTCATTCTTCTGTTATAAACTTTAAGAGCTAAGAAGCTATGCTGTTTCTTGCCCTTAGAACAACTGGTCTTCCAGTACAAATATACTGTATACAGGGGCGGATCTACCGGGGTGGCATGGGGTGGCAACTGCCACCCTAAAAAATAGCCTTGCCACCCCAGCTGCCACCCCAGTTGGCATCTTTGTTTTGAAAGAAGTTAACATTGATTGATATGACTGGGATTAAATCAGCATATACTTCTGCCAGGGGATGCCACCCCTCAAAATCTCCTGCCACCCTCTTGCCACCCCATGAATATTTTTCTAGATCCGCCCCTGACTGTATACAAATGTTACTTCTATTGGCTTTACTAAAGGGGCATTCAAACCATGAATACAACTTCAGTCAAAAAGTTGCAAACCATTTCATCAGACTCTTATTATCCCCTCAACAGAAACACACTCTTATATGCCACATAGTGTGAAATTCAATGATATAATCAGAAGTCTTGCTAGAAGGAGTTACAGTCCAGCCTTCAGTCTGTCATGACTTGTCTGTTTCTATTCTGCCAGCTCACTGGAACAACAGTAGCCGCTTTCACACCAAGTACTTTGCCGTACTTAGTGCCCAGCACTTAGTACCCCCATGGAACTAAGTACAGATCGCGTTCACACCGGAATAAGTTCCCTGAGGGAAGATTACGCAAATGAAGCCGCTGACGTCACTTCTTCTGCTTTGGGTTTACTGGCAGGCCGCAAACCACTTCACGGCGTATACTGCCACCCGAAGTTCCCGGCCGGAGGTCCCCGGAGTTGGGGACTGGCTTCAGTAGAAGCTGCTGGGAGTCCCAGCAGCTTCTACTGAAGCCTTCCGAGTAAATCGCCAGAACGCCGACTTCTCCTCATCTCCACCGCTCCCATGTTTTCTTTTGTGTTGCCATAAGTTAGTCTCTCTCCGTTGGTGCACGGGGCTAATGCTAATGCTAATAATGCTAATGCCAGCAAATACAATGGCTGCTTCAAAAAACTTTTCAGAGTATTAAGGGGCGTGGTTTGCAAATCAGCCAGCCAATAGAAATTGGTACTTTTTTCTCCCCAGGATAGTACCTCCTCTCTAGCAGGCACTACAAATGGGGGTAAAAGTTATCGGAACTAAGTTCTCTTTTTGGTGTGAACGCAAAATTCCAGGCACTATCTGAACTAAACGGGAAAAGTACGGGTAAAAGTACTCTGGTGTGAACGCGCCTAATGTTTACAGTCACCTGACATATCAAGCTGCTTACTAAATGCATTTCTAAACTGGTGTAATAGGTCATGACACGTGTGTGTGTGTGTGTGTGTGTGTGTGTGTGTGTGTGTGTGTGTGTGGGTAAAGGAGGACGTAATGTGGTCAATGATGTTCAACAAATATTGGTTGTTGCATGTTGTAAATAAATAAAACTAATATGCAAATCTGTGAATATACAAATGTACATATAAACGTGCATCACACAAACTCAGGACTCACCAAACTGCAGCTTCTTCATGGCAGCCACGTATTTCTCCTCTACAGAGCGCAGAACGTACAGAGGCTTGGGTCGACTGGACACCTTCCTCGAACACTCCACCAGCTTCCTCTCTGTGAGGAAACAAGAATCACAAAGGCAAGAGTGAAACAGAGCAAGGATGCATTCCAAAAGTGGCACAGTGGCATGAGCTTTGGAACATCTTTCCTGTTTTCTTCTGATCAACCACCTAGAAAATAATATGTTTGATGCAGATCTGAATAACCAAATGTATTTATGAGAAGGATTTTCTTTTTTATGATCGGTTTTTCCTCCCATTAACTTTTATTGGATACAATTAAATTCAGACAGCGTCTGTCTGTCAGCAAGAAAAAAGTTTTACGTCGACAACTTTAATAATTGTCGTTTCCATTCAGTCTCATGCCTGCCTGAGCATCCGGTTTGATTTTAATTATGTTGTTTTAAAATGTTCCTGAAACATTTAGCCAAATAAAGAGTTCAAAAGACATGAAATGTACAATTCAATACAAATGTAAAAAATACAAATGCAAATAATAAATCCAATGTTTTAATTGGTTCTGCCAGTAGACATGGGTCCACAGTACACATTATAAAAACAGAATGCAGGGCATTCATGTGTGTTTGTTCAACAGCTGGATGGAAGGGAATAAGACACATATGAGTGAAATGTGGATGCAGTTCAAGAGAGGATGCACACCTGGTTATAATCTATTGCTAAATGTTTTCCATTGACCTTGAGTTAAGATCATTTCATCATAACTACTTTCTAGGGTTAAGAATTAACTTGTATATATTTCCTATACATTCATATTTCCGAGCTACAATCCAACCCTGGAGGTGCACCCAGAGTGCAGCGGCCATTTATTCAGCGTGTTGAGTGAGCACAGATTCAGTGAAGCTCCAGAGGAATACTTCCTCTCCTCAGTCAATACCGTCCTGCTCTTGCTGATCATGGCGTCTTCCTGACATTTGTCTTAGAGCCTCTGTAATAATTAAATTATTATACATCTGTCAAGACCCTCATCGATTTCTTCATGTGAACTGACCCGACACTCAACTCTTTCTGTTCCCCCACATGCACACTTCAACTTCATCTAATGGCAACCCCCCCCCCCCCCAAGTGATCAGCATGATGGCTGTTAACGTGGATCTAACATAAAACCCTCTGTAATGGGCGTGTGGTGGGGGGGGGGGGGGGGTCATCTGTTTTGTGCTCTGCTTAGCAGCCTGGTGATGTGGGAGGTGTGAGGCGGCAACATTTGATTGATGCAGTAGCTTTATTAAGGTGGGATCCTTCCTTCAGTAATCAATCACTTCCTGGTCCCACCCCTTTCAATTTGAACACATGCTCTCCTACCTGTTAACCTATGAGAGAACGTGATTTAATTAATTACAATGATTAAATATTCAGAAGCCCTTAAAGCTGACTACCAACCGTCCTCAAGACACAGATATGTTCTGCAAAGATATGAAGTAATGTTCCTTGGTTTCAGAAAGCTAACAGAAAAGGTACATTTGAATTCCTTTCGTCCAAAAATAATTCAATATATTTATTAGGTTTGATGCACAATCATCTGAGTATATGATTGGTAGAGCAGTCTAACAAATGAACATGAAGGAGTTTCCCTTTCCTTTATCAACATGATCAGTAAAAATGTTCAGTTCATGCGTGAAGATATCTTTTTGTTATATTTTAAAGCCATTAGCAAAGGCTGCAGGGGCTTTGCTCGTCTTGTTAAGATGAAGACACTTTGTTCTGCCTGTTGCAGTGTGTGGCTCCACTGATGTATACCTTAGAGCCACAGGTGGCACATTAGGGTGGGTTTGACCTGTAAGAGTATTTGGTCAAGTCAAGCTTTAAAAAAAACAGCCGAAAAGCATCCTTGATAAAAATTAAATTAAATCTTCAGACATTTTGGTTAGATAAATGATGTTGGTGTCCTTGCACCAGAGGACAGGACACAGACTACAGACGAGTAAGAGAGACACAAATAGAAATATGGAGATAGGAGAGATCTGGGAAATGATTTAAAGTCCCAAACATAAAGCACATCTGGGTTTGTTTTGGCCTCAGGTTAAATGTATGGTTGTAAATATGTTACTGAAGTGTTTGCAGACTGTGATTTAAATCTAACTTTGCAATAAATCCCCATGAGTGTGTTTTCTGGGTACCTTGGTTGGCCTGCCGCAGGCTGGTGGTGGCAGTGTACACAATCTCAGCAGTCCTCTGGATGTCAGGCACCAGCAGAGTGAGACCCTCGGGCTCTGGGTCTGAGGTGTCCGTCTTCACCACACCTTTACCCTTATCTTTCTTTGACCTGAAACACACACACACATATGTACATTCAGTCATAATGTAATATTGGCTGCTGTTTGATAACTTGCATGTCATTTTGTATGCATTAATAAAAAGGTTGGTAGTTTTTCCTTTAGATTTCAAAAGACATAGATTTGATACACATTTCTTGGTATAATGCTGCTGAGAGTTTTTAGGTTCACTGATATGAAAAATGTTTCTCCTCTTTGACTCGTTATATGTACAGTTGCTACTGTGGGTAAACATCACAGACTGTATCTGGAAATACAATTTTACATAATAAAATCGGTCACTGATATATATGCAGGGAAAACCAGAATGGTGATTATTTGTCAGGTATTTAATTAACTCAATGGAAAAAAACGTCATTGTGTTGATTTACCAGAAAATATACTACATTATCCCAAATATTAGGGAAGTGTTCTTATTCCTGTTACTTGTATCCTTATCTTTGAAAAGATAAAGGCCTGTCTATACATCATTTACTAGCCATTCTTTAGCCTGTTTATAGAACTAGTCTTTTGAATGAGGCAGATTGAATTATTTTGACACAACTAAGATAATGTATGACTTGAAGCTAAAAACAGCTAATCATGTACAAGTTGTATACAGAGATGTAAAATGGACCCTAGGACAGCTTCATCATTCTCTGCTGTCTCTCTGACTTATGAGGAATGGAGCCATTCATACTCAGGTACTATTGGTATGTATTTATGCAGAGTATATGCATGTAAACCTGGTTCAATACGTATAAACCAAGCTTACATGAGCTTGGTTTATATATATATTTATGTGTAGGTATAGACCTGTGTGCTGTGTGACCATCTCACCTGAGACGATTGGTGTATGTGTCCACGCATGTCTTCATCTTGGCCAGCAGCATCCCTACAGAGGTCTGTCCCTCTGAGTGCTCTTCATCCTCGTCCTCCTCGTCCTGCCCGGGGTCTCCTGAGAGAGGCAGCAGCAGAGGGACCAGGGTGGTGCAGGTGGAGGTGGCCCTCAGCAGCTCCAGCAGCGCCCGATAGAGAGGCACATGACGAGCCATATCCAGGACTGCAGCGAGACCACAGGATACAGTGTGTGAGTGTTAGATGCTCCAAGAATAGGGCAACAAATGAACTGACTTTCTATATTTCCCAATAAACAGATCTCTATTGCAACAGTGATAGTATTGGTAAGCAAACATTGTCATGATCCAGGACCTTCATAATCAAACATCTTAGTCACAGTAGCTCAAAAACAATAATAAAAATGAAAACGTGCCGGAGGGCAGGTAATATCCTTTGTGACCCCAAAATATACAGAGGGGGGGAAAGATTACTTTTGGTGAATTCAAAGCAACAAAAAAGACTGACTCATCTATAGCAATAAAGATCAGTGCTGCCACCGGTGGCCAGCTCTCATACTACAATAACATGTCTAAACAAATATTGAATAGCTAGAGACAGAAACAGAGAGAGCTATAAATAAATAAATATATTTATATATACACAAACTCACTGGTCACTTTATTAGGTACACCTGTTCAACGGTCGAATCCTCTACAGTTCTCTATCATATAGACGGTTCGGCCACACGAGGCCGACATGGAAACGCAGAAAACGATAACGGGTCCCAAGGTGGGTAGATCTGCGGACGAAACACTCTGGGGGGGGCAAACGGCTCCGTGTCTACGCCCTATACGATCATTTCCTGATAACGATGACATTTGTCAAAGATTCCAGGGCCATCAATAATGGCATTCCTAGAACCTTGCCACTATTGTAGATAACAATCTGTCATTATGTAATAAATGGGCATCCCTTGAGTTATCCTTTTAAAGTTTGAATATACTATGTGAAGAAGCAAGGAATTAAAAGTGTTAGATAAGAGGTTGGCTTGTATCAATTCTCAACCAAAACAGGGAAAAACTGTTGGGCATACTAAGACAGTGTTTTTCATTCTTTTTTGAGCTGCGAAAAACAACCTGCGGCACATCAACGACCAAAAAAGCTACAAAACGGCACATTGTATTCCAATACAGCGTGTATAATGACAATTGAATGACAAGTCTTTCAATTTGGCGACAATTTAAGCTCTCTGACACCTTTGTGTTTTTTCTCATTAAAGTGATCTGTTTCTGAAGGGTGTTTTGTTTTGAGATGACGTTTAAGCTTGCTTTGGACCATGGCATTGTTGGATAGCTTTTCTCCACACACCAAGCATAACTGAGTCTGTGCAGTCTGATCCCTGAGGAAAGTCAATCAAAACGATGACATCTTTCGCTGTATTGCCTCAAGCCCCCTGATTTTCTTTATTTTGGTCAACACTCATATTAGGCTCTTCATCTGGGTTAGAATTTTGTCAAGGACCCAGTTCAGATTCTGCATGTTTAAAATATTTATCCATCGCTGTTCATGTTGTCACAGCAACCTCTCCCACGCATCACTTCACTCTACAGGCTTAAATGAACAAGGCCCTTAATGCGCTACCTACTGCCTCCCACTGGCATGGAAGAATATTTAATAGCAAATTATTTTATTTTTAACCGATTAAGTGCAAATGGACAATTACCCTCAGCACACCTGACGATCTGTCACAGCACACTCAGACTAATCTCAGCCTCTGTGCTTGGGTCATTTGAGCCTTTGTTTTCGTTTGGCATCCAGCAGCACTTGACCAAAGGCCAGTCACATCTGTTGAGGCAGTGTGAAGTAGGCATCTACAGAGTGACCATGTTAGCCGGATCATCTTCTGAGGGGCTATCTGGTGTGTGTGGAGGTACTTGTGTGTCCATGTGCTTGCCTTGAAGTGTCAGCCTCTAAATAAACAGCTCTTGTTCGGCGCTTGCAGACTGTTTTACATTTATATTGAAATTCCCCGCTATCCACTGTCGTCACTCAGCATCTGCACAACACTGACCTCCCAGAGCTTCAACCTGATCTCAGATCCTTACACCGGTGTCTTTGGATGACACCTAGCATGGAATCCTAGTCCCTTTTAGTTACCTCTATGTAATTACTCTGTTTGTGTGCAACTCATCAGAATTCCTCCTCCCGCTCTGTTTCAATGTCACAGTTTTGTTCTACACTTTGGGGAATAAATGTCACTAATGAAAGAGAAAATAATAAAAAGAAAGGACAAAGATATTTGTATATATTTGGCTCATGTTTTGTTCTTTAGCCATGCATGCAGTGTGTTTTAGCAATGGTTACATTGGTCATTCAACTGTTCATGGTCCCTGGAGTCTAATCCATCATTTAGATGTAAATGATAGTACTTTACCCCCGAATATAAACATTTATCAAAGTCTCTTCATCTTATTTACAAATGATAAAACAATGAACTATTTGCAAGGCTTCCAAGGGGATACACATATATAGTTTCTAAAAGATATCACAAAACTATACCAACAAACCGCCATGAATTGTTGTTATTAACCTTATGATACAAATGATTGGTAATGGTTTACTATCTTTTTCCAACAACCGCCTGGTACAACACTACAAAAAAAAGTCATATGCACTGGCTTCTCATTTCCTGCCTCTGTAAATATAGTCATATTTCCATGAAATCAAAGAAACACCAATTTGGAGCCTGAACAGTGATTCAGAGCAAAGAGTAAAGAGGCTGTTCTCCTCTGAGACACATGAAAAGTGGAAACCCAAGGAGGCGGGACATCCATCACAGCTATGAGCGTCTTGGTGGTGCCGACCTGCAGTCATCGCAGTACTTCCAACAGCCAGCCTTCATCTGGGCCTTCTCTCTGTGATTTAGGGCCTTCTGGGGGCCGTACAGAGATGGGTGCTGCCAGGAGCCATGTTGGATGTTCAGGCTGAGTAAAAGTTAATGGAGGCCAGTAGACCTGAATAGGAGTGCCTGCCATGAGTTAGCATGGCATATGAAAGGGCTTCTTGTAATAAAAGCTCTACTGTTGGACTTTAATCCCTCCCTGTAGCCCCACCTCGTGTCAAATCAATGGCTTGATGGTTTCAGGAAGTTGTATTTGAAAATCAGGTTATGAATCCTCCAGAAATACACACAATCATTGATTTCTATACATGGTCGTTCAAAACCCTGGAAATGGAACTGATAATCAACCACCGAAAAATCCCTGGCATCAAATGCCAAACACAGATATTCTAATTAACACCCAAACCCTGTTGCCCACTGACAACTCCAGTCTAGTGCCTTTTCTGCCCGCAGTCCCCAGTGAAGATGCAAAGATTCCTTTAATTATAGCTGACAGATTGATGGTTGGTATTTTACTGGGGGTGAAAAAAAATGAACTTGTTTAGAAATGGACACCTCTGTGATGTTAATTACTGCAGATAGTGCCACAGCAGGGTGAGGAAAAATAAGTATCCATTCCCATATTTGAGAGACAATCACTGCATTGTACAGTATATGCATTGTACATGTATTTGTACATGGCTGCTACCAAAAACATTCCAAAAGCCCATCCAGGCGATGTGATTCCCTGGATACCATTTGTAAAATACCTCAGCTTTTGGATCCACCATGTGGAACACCACTTATCATTTGAGAGCAGCTCATAATTTACCTCTTGGGACCATGGTCCATTTTTAATGAAGCTAGCTGAGATGCAGAGATGTGCTTCTCTAGAATGAGCATACTGGATAATTGCCCTTCTTGGCTGGTGCTGCAAATGTGCATGAGACTGATAAAAAAAGTGTTCTTTAAGTATGTCAACTTTTCCTAATACACTGCATTATGTCATTGCTTTGTGGTCAGACAGAAGGCAAAGAGAATTTTAGAGGCAACGCAATTGCTAACAAAGTCAATAGTAGCTGGCCATAAACATGAAACCAAATCAATTCTAATGTTGCTCTGTGTCTGCTAGATGTGTAATAGGCATTATATGTTTATAAGGATGTGTCAGGGCTGTGGGTTTGTCAGCTTGTTTTTCTTCTTCTCAAAATAAAATTGCCCACCATCCACATATATATTCATTATTAAATTAACAATAGTGCTTTTGTTGAGACAACTCAAGCACTCCTTTGTGCACCAGTCAATACTCAAATAAAATACAGAGTTAAATCCCAGATCAAATGTACATTGGAGGGTCTTGAACATATTGTCTGGAGTGATTGTAATGTTATGGTAAATGTCTGATTCCTTAAATATGTGTCTTTTTTGATCATGCAAATGGAGCTGCTGTGATGCAAGAAAAATGTCAGACTTCACAATTAAGTATTATCGTAACGTAACTGTAGAGGCATGTTAATGTGTTGGTAGTAATATATCCAACCTACTGCTTCCATGGCAACCCACTGAGACAAAAGCTTATGACAGTCATTGATCTTCATAAAAGCCACATGCTCAACATAATTATTTGTTTACAGGGTAATGGTCAATAACATACACACAATACAGACAGTTGAAATATTGGGCTCTAAACCTGTAATGTGCAATACAGTATATGCACTGTTTTTGGCAATTGTACTGTGCACTATTGTAATCATTTTCATGTGAAAAACATAATTCTTTAGGTATCTCAAACCCATCTCAAATGTACATTTAGCTACAAGCTGCTACCCATTTAACCATGGATGAGTAATTATTGATTATTATTTTGATTTCCAATGTGTGCTTTTTCTCTATTTTTAACATGCTAGCTACTCAATTATTGCTCGCCTTTTATCTGCCATGTCACTTTTGCTGTAACGTTGTAAACGTCCCCGCTGCAGGACTAATAAAATAATTGTGATTCTGATCAAAACAGTGATAGAAAACCATTTAGCAGGTTAACACTGGGTCTCCTGGGTGAGCAGCAGAGCGGTGGGGGGCTGGTAGCTGCTGCAGGATGGGTGTACGATGGCTTCCCAAAGGGAGGGAGGCGTTAAGCATGCGCTCACACTGAGTGGGTGGCCAGCAGTCTGACTCAAGCTCTTGGCTCGACAGTGTCAGGTCTGCCTGCCCCTCAAGGGCAACAGAACAGAGAGACGGAGCCCAAACAGTAGGACTGTGACATGTCTCCGCCAACAGTGTGCCTCAGTACACACCGTGGATAATGTGCACCAAAGCTTAACTATGTGGAACCGCCAGAGAAA